CAGATCTCTATGTCCATAAAATAAATGAGTCTGAGATAAGACAGACAAAATACTAATGAAGGCTGCACTTCAAATGTTTCATGCAGTCCCTGACATCTCACTGTCTGACCTATCTAAACCTTCACAGGGATTCTTTTTCTCTCCTTTTTCTTTCTAATTACCCACTCCATCTTTTTCTCTCTCACTTCTCAGCCCAGCCAGCTCCTTCCCTGTAGAGACCTCACAAACCCTTTCCCTCCCATCCACCTGCCTGTGGGTGTCCAGCAAGGCTCTGTCCTCCCTTCATGCTGTGACCCTGTAGTCCTTTCCCTGCCTGACTTCTGCCACATGCTGTTTTTAGTCTTGTGTTTGCCCAGGTTAGAAAGCACTTCAGTTCCATTATCCCTCCTGAAAATCTGAGGACATCTCACAGGATTTTAGAACAGACATGATGCCTTTTGTTGTTGTTTTTTGTTTTGTTTTGTTTTGTTTTTTTAAACAACCAGCTGACTGTCTAATGCTGCTTGAGAGAGAGGAAGTAGTTTTCTTCAGAACAATATGACTATTTAATGAAGGAAAACCAGGGTCATGTAGGACCAGCGGCTGGCACAACAATCTGTCCTATCATTCATTCAGCCCTACAGTGTGCACATCTGCTGGCCACGCTTTGGCCCATTCGGTACAGAAGCACTGTGGTCCACCTCTGCACCATACTGTTGTTAAACTAACAAGGAACTGCAGGATGTTTTTGCTTGGTAAGAAAGCAAAGCCAGATTAATTAGTGTCAGATGAGAAGAACAAAGAAGGAACCGTGGTTCCATGGAGTCCATCCATTTAGCAAAATTACCTGGCAGAGGGCCTCTTCATTTTACCTGAACTAAATGACAACATGCTTCTTTTCAGTGAGTATCTGCCCCATCACCATGTGTCAGGATACCTGGGAGGAATTTGATATGAGATTACCTGAACTTTGGGAAGCTGAACCAGGAAGACCAGAAATAGGGAGCTGCAGGACACTTCTGTAGCAGACATCAGGCTCTTATGGGAATCAGGCTCTTCTAAGCTACTGAGAGCATCACTCTGCCTTGTTTCACATTTCCCAGTCTATGATGCCAGATCCAATGAGTTCTGCAGTCCATACATGTCCCAAGAGGGAGCACCTTAGTGTTAATGTTCATGCAGTACCATTATCAAAGAGATGAGATTTTTCCAAGGATGTGCAGATGGGCCAACAGTTTCATAGACTCTGTGAAGAGAAAAGGAGAAAGAATGAAGGAGAAAACTCACAGCAAGATGGTACATTTTTGCACATGACATGCAGCTGAAAAAAAAAATTACCCTATAAGAAGCTGCTGAGAGACAGAAACCAAGTAGGAAATCAAGCGAAGCTGTGGCAGACAAAATTTAACTCAGATTGAGGTAAGGTAAACTTCTTATCCTTACTGATGAGCTGGACTCATGGGACATCTGAGGCCAATGACTTGGAAGATACTGTCACAAACGGCAGTAAAAGAAAAGGCTTGCCTGATGCAGAGCAGTAAGTACAAGGACAGAGTGGAAGGACCTTTATAAAATGATGCTGAAAAAATGCCTCCTACTTAACACCATTTGGTAAATAGTACCAGCATGTGAAGTGAAATTCAACCTTCATTGCTTCCTTGCAAAGAAGTGGTCCCCTGAGCAGCAGAACTATCAAGACTTGTTTTTCTAGGATTTTTTTTTTAATAGATTTTCTCAGGAGTAAGTACAAGTCTGCACTGCTTCCTTTCCATTGGGGAAGACACAGGTAGATCTTCATCTACCCAGCTCCATATTTTCATGGAAGATACTAAAGTATTGATATATTTGGGACATCTAACCTTCAGTTATGTGTTGTTAAAAGGTAGACAAGTTCAAATACTGTTGAAGAGACAACACAGGTAGATAGACTCCTGCTCAAATGGCCTCGTGACAGGCTTCCTTCCTGAAAAATAACAAGCTGGAAAAGGAAGAAGGAGATGCCCCAGAAGAAAGCGTGGGAAGGATACAGCAGGGCTGGCATACAGCAGTAGTGACCCCAGGGTAAGTGTAAGACATGGAGTATTTCCAAGCAGAACAGCCAAGTAGCTAGCAGAAACGTGAGAAACAATAAAGCTTTTCTGCTCTTCTGATGTACCTTTTCCTAATCTGGGAACAGCAAATTAACACCTAAAGAATGACAGATGCTTTGTCTTCCTATACAGTGACATGGGAGAAGCTGCCCAACTTCCTCCCAGATGGGAGCCTGCGTACATGGAAAAGATGTGGGACCAATGTGCATCCGGGGACTGACTGAAGGAGAGCAAGTGCTGTCCACCAACCTGCTGTCCTTAAACTAATAATGGTAGCACTAACAATGTGAGCTACCATGTACAGATCTTTTTTTCTCTGAAGCCTGTATACCTCTGGTGTGCTTCCCACAGTTCCTGGAGCTCATCCCTGGCACCTGTAGGTCTCCTCCATCTTTCAGGGTGAGAGACACATGGAGCAGGAGGCTCTGGTTCCCAAAGCCCTCGCTGACTCGCAGCCCTGGGCAGGAACCTCCCAAGTGACGACGGATCAGCAGCTTAGTGCTCTGACTAAAGCAAAACATCACTAACTAAAACAAAAAGTTTTGAAGAAAAAGATAACTCAAAAACATTATAAAGCTGGTGTAAGTAACATTTATAAGGTCCAATATTCCCTGCCACTAAGAAGTCCCTTTTCCCTCTTGTTCTGTTAATGTCTACTTCAGACAGCTTTGGTCAAGCACAGTTCTAGTATTCCACCCCTCTTCTCACAGGGCTTAACTTGCTGTTGTCATTTTCTTGCCAGTTCATAACCTGATGAAACACGCTTGCAACTTCTTTGGGGATAGATCTTTATACTTGATTATTCTGCCCATTGCTTTCTGACCTGCAAGCTGTTGCATTGCTGCTTTGTTCATTCTCTCTCCAGTGCCAGTAGAAGCTTAATCGATAACCTCCTGCCTTGGTCTTGCTACCACCTGAAGCCATTGCATCACCATATTCATAACGCTATTGCAGATCAGCTGCGTGTCCCTCACACTGTGATGAGCCACCACTGTAAGTAACAGCAGAGCAATTACTGCATATGACAGGAGGCACAGGAATACAAATTGCTATTGATTTCTTTCTCTCTACTGCAAAACATGAAGAGTTATCTCTGACTACCC